ACTTACAAGCGGACTGGCTCAGCTGACAAACTATCGACCACGCGGAATGGCATATTCATCCGTCGATCTTCCAGAACCCGTCGAGCCTTTTTGGCCCTCCAGAGGTGGATCTCTTCGCTACCCCAGAGAATGCTCAACTCCCTCACTTCTACACTTGCTTTCCAGCTCCTCGGGTGGAGGGAATGGACTCCCTTCGCTGTCCTTGGCCGAAAGGGCTTCTTTACACCTTTCCCCCATTGCCACTCATTCCACGAGTAGTACAGAAGATTCTAGAGGAGCGGGCAGAGATCATCCTTGTAGCGACACACTGGCCACGACGGTCTTGGTTCGCCAACCTCAAATCTTTGTCTGTGACCCCTCCATGGAGAGTCCCTCAACCTGTGGACCTGCTCAGCCAGGGGGCATTGCTCCACCCGGACCTTCAATGGCTGCAACTGACCACCTGGCACTTGAGCGGTGCGCTTTGAGTAAGGACAACATTCCCTCCAGGGTTATCCGGACCATCCAGGCGTCCCGGAGGCCGTCCATAGACCGCATTTATTTGGCCACTTGGAGGGCCTTTTGTGCTTGGTGTGACCATATGGGGGTTTCTGCCTTTCAGGCCTCAATTGTTCACATCCTGATATTTCTACAGGACGGGCTCGAGAGGGAACTTTCGCCCAATACTCTACGGAGACAGGTGGCGGCTATCTCTACGGTTCTCACTTATGGGTCCCTTGCCTCCTTGTCTCAACACCCTCTGATTCGTAGATTACTGCGGGGAACGACTAACTTATGCCCCCCCCCCATGGTTCACAGATATCCCACCTGGGATCTAACCATTGTTTTGAACTCCCTTACAGAACCCCCATACGAGCCCTTAAAAACTGCCAGCCTCCATCTGCTGTCATGCAAGGTCGCTTTTTTGGTGGCCATTACCTCCGCCAGGCGGATTTCAGAGATTGCCACCCTTTCTGCAAGTAGTGACCTTTGCATTTTTCATTCTGACCATGTGGTCCTTCGTCTGGACCTCTCCTTCATTCCAAAGGTCAATACGACATTCCATTGCATGCAGGACCTGGTCTTCCCAAATTTTTGCCCGCATCCCACTCACCCTTTACAACGGCGCTGGCATACGTTAGATGTGCGGAGGGCTCTTCGTATTTATCTCAAGAGAACGGCTACCGTCTACAGGACGGAGTCCTTGTTTGTTTCTTTTATTCCAGTGTCTTTAGGTTCCAAGGTCTCTTCTTCCACCATTGGCAGATGGATTCAGCAGATGATCGCCAAGGCATACGAACTGCGTTCCTTGCCATGACCATCACGTCTAACGGCTCATTCCACACGTAGTGCGGTTACTTCTGCGGCCTGGGCCACGCAAGCATCCTTGATTGAGATCTGCAGGGCGGCAACATGGATGTCATCATCATCCTTTGTTAGGAACTATAAGCTGGACCAGTTTGCTTCGGCGGAGGCAGCATTTGGTCGCAGGGTTCTGCAGCGGGTTCACTCAGATGCGGAGACTTAGAACCAGACTAGGACCCGTCCGTAGTTGGGACACTAAGCTTTGGTATGTCCCATTCCTGGCTGCTGTCTCCACCCACAATGGAGAAGGGGCGTTGGTCCTACCTGATATGCACCTTCTCATTGGGTGGAGACAGCAGCCAGCCCCACCCTTGGACTGTCTGGTCTCCTTGTTAACCTCTATTTCTTTCTGCCGAGACTTCGAGGCTGTTATTCATCTTCGTAAAAGCTGGAAATCCCTAGCAACAAGGGAGGAGCTCAACTTTTGCAACAGTCTCAGTCCTTCAAGCTGAACAGGTGAGAACCACCCATTCCTGGCTGTTGTCTCCATCCAACGAGAAGGTGCGTATCAGGTAGGACTAACGCCCCATCCTAGATTGATAGGGAGGATTCTATAGGATTTTTGTTAGTGGTCATTTATTCTTTTATCTCCTATTTTGGTAGGAAATAAGCCTGAATACAAGCTCCTTCTTCCTTTGGATAAATACAAAATAGTATTCTTTCTCAGTAATACTAAACAATTTTTTTTTACCAAAAATAAATAAATAAATATAACATTGAAAAAAGTACGCTAAAAAAGACAAAAGACAAAAACACATATAAATGTATTATCCCCCTAGTTGAATACTTATAAATATATTGCAACAATGTTAGTTTACCCCATTGTGAAGCAGGCCCAAGTTTATAAACTTTTATATCTATTTGCAACTTATTTGACCTATTATTTTTATCTAGTGTTTATAAAAGCAAAGCAGTTTACAGTAAAGCAAAAGCAAAATCCTCTGTTAACACTCTATTATTGTATTTAACTTGTAGAAAGTCTGCTACCACTTTTTATCTATTACAAAGTACCACAACTGTTGCCGTACACTAAATAAATAAATAAACCACAACTGTTATCTCTGATCTGTCCAGGATCAAATATCCTCGTTTGCTTCTTAATAATAAAGCTTTTTCTTAAAATTTTGATTAGGGAGTTTTGCAACAATTGCATCTTATCCCCTAAAGTCATAAAGCTTTGCTATGAGTATCTCCACAGCTTCAGTCATTCAAAAAAATCTCTCTGTAAACAAAAACATAACATCAATCCTCCCCAAAAAAATCTAGCTGAATTTTTTTTTCGATTGAATATAATATGTCCATTCCCCAATTACCATCAATTTTCCGATTTATCCGATTTATCACTAATTGAGTCTGTCAACTCCAATTCTGTAAAGTCCTTATCCCTTTTAGCCTTCTCAAATACATCCACCACTTTCAAACCAAGCTCCTGTTATAAATCTGGTTTGGCTGCAGTTGCTTGTATCTGGATATCCTCTTTGGGTTGATTTAAAATCATTGTTACATTATCAAACTTTTTACCAAAGTCTTTAATTTGAACTTGTAGGCTAAAAAACATTTTCCCCCAAGTCTTCTCAAAGCGCTTTACCTTTAGGTTGGTGCGTTGTTTACCCTCCTGTAGCTTAGCAACCAAAGCTAACCAGTTCTTCAAGGACAGGTGTCAGGGCTGCCTCTGTTCATTTCCTAGGAAAGAAAAACTCTTGGCTCCATAGATTCAGAGAAAAGGTGCTTTTACTAGGAGAGAACTGAATGCAACAAGTTTCAGGCAAGATCTGAGGCAAAAGCGCACAAAAAGCAAATTGAAACAAACTATAGAGCCAAATATCCTTGTAGCTAGGCAACTCTGGCTGCTGCATACCAAAGCTAGAAAAAATGACCTTGGAGAGATAACCAAAGCCCAAACCATGGTTACAAAGGTGCAATGAAAAATTCTCCACTGACCCCACTCCCATGGCAGCTAACAGCAGGCTAGCTGACATTAGGGGAGTTAAATGTAATTAACAGGATAGTTGCAGAGAACCTTAAAATGATATTTCTCACAGTTAAAATAGTTAAAGAAAAAAGGAGGAAATTTGGTCCAAAAATAAGACCAAAACTTTTTGAGAGTGAGAGTCTCTGTAGTGAAAATACACTATAAATGTAAATCCAGTCACTTTCAGTACCCAGAAAATTGCTGTGATTTCCATACAGAAAGCAAAAATTACTGAGAGCAGCAAAGTGAAACAAAGAACAGAGAAAAATTCATGTTAAAATCAGGCAAGGAGTTAGAATAAATTAGCATTCAACCAGTCCATTAACTTTTAAGAATAAAAAAGAAAGTACAAAAGAAACTTTAAAAAGTGCAGTTAAAACCAAGGTGATCAGATGATAGGAAAAGATGGAAACCTGACTTTCCGGCCTCTCCTACCAGAAACTGCAATCTTCAAGATTTGTCTTCTCAGATGGGTCCACAGCAGTGGTGGGTTGCTCCTGGTTCTGTCCGGTTCTTTAGAACCAGTAGTAAAAGCGGCATGAGGCTCCACCCACCCGCCCGGACGTCATAATTGACGATCTGCGCAGAAGTGTGTGAGCGCGCGTTCCCCTTGCAAACCAGTAGTAAAGGTAAGTAGAATCCACCCCTGGTCCACAGTTGTCCAAAAGTCATCTTGGATCAATCCTGGGTGCCCCGTTCACGTCTGGGGAGCAATGCCACCTAACAGCCAGCTTTGGCAGAAGAATCAACGGGTCATCACAGGAGAAAAAGATCGCCGTGCGACTGAGCATGTCATCTTGAGGGGATAAATGCAAGATAGTATTGGGTTATTGTATATATTTTGCAAACAAAACGTTCACAAGTGTACAAGTATAAATCTGGTTTCAGGCCCAAGAAAGCAATATTTGCTTTGAACAATAGATAAATGAAAAGAAAAGAGAAAATTTCTATAAATGTTTATGGGCATCAAGTTTTAAGATGATATTGTGGATTTAAATTTTTTTGTATAGTGATTTTTCCAAATGTGTAAGTCATTATATGGGGAAAAATGAAGATGGTTTCCTGTTAGAAATAAATATAAAATCCCTTCTGAATCAAGTTTGGCGCTTCACAACATTGATCTCCTCTCAGCCAAGTATCAATTTTATTGGTCTGTGCTAAACTACTGAAGATCAGTCTAGATGATCAATTATCACCTTAACTAAGCATTCTGTTATAAGAACCAGTATTAAAATAATTTATGTAATTCAGTTGCAAAGATGGATGGCGGTGAGGACTAGGCTCTTATAGAAAATTTAATGCCAAGCTTCTGTCATCTCTGTAGAAAATAAAAATAAAAATAAAATTTTAAATGATTAATAATTAATCATTTAGTGATTAACAGTACTTTCGTACAGTTCTCTTCCTTACATGTATACAAAACAATAGCAGAAATAACTTTATTCACTTGCTTTGAAAACTACCAGCAAGAACAAAAGTCTACCTCACCAAGTGTAAACTAAATAATGTTAAAATAATTTGGTAGAAAGCTATTCTCCAATTTAAAAAATTACTATAAAAGTTCTGCTTCAAATTGCAACTCTATGCATGACTAGAAATCTGTAGCACAATATGGTATCAAGTATTTATTAACTAAAAATATGATTATCCTTTCTGGTGAAGATATTTTTTCTTTCTTTTTTAGGAGACACATGAAATTGTGGCCATTAAAAAATTCAAAGACAGTGAAGGTACTTTTTTCTATTTGAATATATAGTGCATTTACTTTTTTAATTAATAGGTTCTTATCCAAGATTTGGAATAGTGCAGGAGTATAAGTATTTATTGTCCTGTGTCAACATATCAACTATGAAGAGATCAGAGTTTTATTTCAAAACTTCTTGGATAGATGGTGGAGATACTCCTTAATATGCAAGCTTTCTACATGTCTGTATTGGTTCAGACCTGCCTTTCTCAACTTGGCACCTCCAGATAAGTGAGATTGCAGTAATAAACATTGAATTTATTAATGAGCTTCTGTTTCATTAGAAAATATAGCCAGCATTTTTAAATTATTCTTACTATGGTATTACCATATTTCAGATAGATTTCACTATGATTTGATTACTGTATATTCAGAATAAATCTGAATAATCTGAAATGTTTCCTGATAAGCAATTTATTACTTATCTAGATAGCTGAGTCAGAGTCTGATATGTGTACATATCAGCAGAAATTTAATTCAGAAAAATATGTAGTTGAACTGTGTATGATTCTAGATCCTTGAAGAAATAATAACTAGCAAATAATATCTCCTGATTCTGGTTTCACTTTTAAGAGTTCTAGAAGAGAGTCTTTTGCACTAATAACAAATGTTCTTTCATTTTGCATTGAACCTGAAATGAATTGAGAGCCAATTTGATGTACAAGTAGTCCTTGACTTATGACTGGTCATTTAATGAACACACAAAGTACTGACAGCCTTCGAAAGAGTGCTTTACAGCCTGGAAAGCAGTTCTGGCCATCATAAAATGTACCCATCCCCCCAGAGTCATGTGACTGTGATCTGGGTGTTTGACAGGCTGTTCACACTTAGGGGCAGTGGCCAAATGCCCCATTATCTTATAATTGCGATTTGCAATCTTCTCTGCTGGCTTCCCCAGAAAGTCAGTGGGAAAGCCAGCAGGGCAGTGGCAAGCTGCTGTTGCCTTCCAAGTGGGCTTCCTCTGGGTACTGGGGGCTGAATGAGCTTCTTTGGCAGGGTAGAGAAATGGAGCTCAGATCCTGAAGATCTGTGTTCCATTTCTGCACCCCTGCATACTCATTCCCTTCCCCAGGGGCACCCCATGCTCCTGATCTGGGACTTGATCCACTTAATGATCCGTGTGTGATCACTTAACCACAATCAGCCCTAGGAAGGAGGCAATGACAAACCTCTTCTGAAAAACCTTGTCAAAAGAACTGTAGGGACTTGTCCAGGCAGTCTCTGAGAATTGAACACAATTGAACAGAAGAAAAAAATGAAATGAATTTCAGCAAGAATATTTTCCCTCTGTTTTATAAGTAGTATGGACTGGCACCAAAGGCCTAATTCCAGAGCTGTTGGTACCCCTCTTCAGGATTTTCACTATAAAAGCATGAGATTAACATTTATGCAAATTATCTTTTTATTTGGCCTTTATTCTCTTGATTTTACTTTGGCTTGGTTTTGGAAACTTTAGTATATTAATGCTTGTAAAAGAAGTTTATCTTCAGTGTAAAAATATTCTTTTATCATATTTACTCAGGATTAATTCTCATTAAATAGAGCTGAACCAGCCTTGTTTTAATATTTATACTTAGCAATATTACAATATAACTTTAAGCAAAAGGCCTCTATTCAATGCAGTACCCCATTTGGAATCATATTTTGCACAACAAATAAGCATTTCTCTATTGACCTGGGACTATAAATACACAGGCATTTACCATTTTTTCTGGATAATGTATTTTCCTTAAAAAATGCCAAAAAATTATTTTTAGGTGCTTTTATCTCAGGCAGAATTTTAGAGTAATACTTATCAAACACAGCTCAGCAATAGCATTCTTTGAGGGAAATGGATAGTTAAGAAATATGAAAAATAAATATAAAAAAATAAAAACATTGAAAAATAAGGCAGCCATAGAAGAATAGTTTAGAAGAGGAAGATAAATTGTGGGATTTATTATTTACTGTTGCTCTGCTATAAAACATTTTTGTTATAATAGCTAATCTTATAATAATATACTAAATAGATAAATTCTCATGTAGTATTCATATATCTTTCACTACTAATAATATTTGTTAATAGATAAAATGTAATATTCTTGAAATACTATTTCACTATAGATAAAATGTTGTAATACGTAATATTTTTTTTCATCAATATAATAGACATATCTCACTAATGAAATGTATTAAATAGTGCACAACGTTTTTACATTTTTATTAAGGGGAATAAAAATTCAAATTAAATTTGTTTTTCATAATTTTGATGAATATGTTTAATAATCAGTTTATAAGAATTATAAATATTTATTGCTGGGCTCTTATGTAAAGAAAGTGATTTGTTTGAATAATCCATAGTGGCTGAATTAAAATGATTTAGCCAAATAACCTCCATTATACTAAGCCAAAATAAAAGAAACTATTTTATAGCTTAGTATGAAATGTAATATGAAGCTTGCTTTTTGTGAAATTTTGAACAAGACTATTTAGGCTAACAGTTTGTTTCTCAGAGAGGATTTAAAGATTGATTAATTATGTGCTATCAAGTCAGTGTCAGTTCTTAGCGATCACAGAGTTTTCTACAGGTTTTGGGAAAAGAGTTGCATATATTTTACAACCTTTCACTCTTTAACTTATAGAAAATGAAGAGGTCAAAGAAACAACTTTACGAGAACTTAAAATGCTTCGTACTTTGAAGCAGGAAAATATTGTAGAACTAAAAGAAGCTTTTAGAAGAAGAGGAAAATTGTATTTGGTGTTTGAATATGTAGAGAAAGTAAGTTATTTATTTAGGAAAAAAACGCTAAGGTGTTCCTGAATACAAATGGTTAAACTTCAAATATGTTTTATGTATAAAAATGTTATACAACAGGCGTGTCAAACTCGCATTGTCACGGTGGCATCACGTGATGTATTGGGACTTTTTTCCCCTTCGCTAAACTGGGCTCGGGCATGGCCAGTGTGTGACGCATCTGGCCCACGGGCTGCAAGTTTGACAGCCCTGTTATACGGGCTGCAAGTTTGACAGCCCATTAGTATTCTATAGCAGTCTTAGTAATATTAAGTCTTTGCAGTAATTTTTCTTTATGATCAACTTAAAATTTGACATTGGGGGGAATAGTTTATCCTGTTTTATTTATTTATGGCTGAAAACAACCTTCAACTATATTTTATCTTTTTCACTGGAAAGTAAATATAATTTGTTTTATATATTAAATAAGGAATAGCATTTTATATATAGTTAATTGATGAAGCAATAGTCCTAGATTTATGTAATAAGCTAATGTATAAATTATAGTTATGGTTTATAAACTACAGTGGCTAAGTTGTCACAATATTTGTTAAACCAAGTTCAAACAAACACATTATTCTTAGGGGGAAATTGGTGAATATGCATTTTCTTAAAACCAATTGAATTGCTCTATAGTTGGTGTACAGATTTATAACATATATATTATTGCTGATTGTTATTTTAATAGAGAAGATTATTTGCTGCTTTAGGTTTTATTGTGCTTTGTTTTATGCATTGTTAAATCTTTGCTGCTTTTAGAAATTATTTTTATTTGCCTTTTATATTGTATAAATTACATGATCATGTTGAATGCTTCTTTTGGTTCCTCTTATACAAGAGGAACCTATTACAAGCCATTAATGGTTGTTTAATACATTGCAGAGTTTGTAATTTAGTTCTTTCTGTCTTTAATTATGTTGAACATAGAATATGCTTGAGTTGCTAGAAGAAATGCCAAATGGAGTCCCTCCTGAAAAAGTAAAAAGTTATATCTACCAACTGATTAAAGCAATTCATTGGTGTCATAAAAATGATATTGTTTCATAGAGGTAAGTAAATTAAACTTTAAACAGTATCTTTTCCTGAAAGCATAAATATGTTTTTATCAAGAAAGTTGATTTCACCAATTATTATAAATTTATTATCTATTTGTTAATTTAAAATAATACGAGGCAAAATTTTCTTTATGATAATAAGTAAAACATACATGCATTTCTAAAGTAAAATTGATGGGAGTTAGCTAAGAAATCCCACTGATTTTAATGAATCTAAATAACATACTCTTTGTGAATAATTTGTGATTTTCATTTTGCTCATGTCTCTTTATCATTAATACATTTTTTTATTGATCATTCTTTATAAATTTTGTAACTGTAACTTCACTAAAATGTATTCATAATTGAATTTAATCTGTTACTGAACTTCAGGTTTAAAAACTAAATATTTTCCCCAAACTAGTATTAAGTTTTCTTTTAGTATAGACATTTAGTTAAACTGACTATTTTGGTAACTATTTTAGTTACTAAAATAGTTAAAATAGTTTAGTAACTATTATTCCAATATACTTTCTATTGGTTGTTCTATGATCATGCTTCAGTAACTTCTGGAAAGTGAGAAGTCATTAGCTACTAAAATTCATCAGAGTAACAGTTGGAAGGGATCTTGGAGGTCTTCTAGTCCAACTCCCTCGTCAAGCAGGAAACCCTATACCATTTCAGGTTGTTCAATCTCTTCTTAAAACCCCTTGGTATTGGAGCACCCACAATTTCAGTTTGAAGTTTGGCCATTATATATCTATTACTGAAAGTTCCTTACAAAAATTTCCTGAATTTGAAAGAAAACCAGTTTGCTGTGGTGATTAAGGTGCTAGTCTAGAAACAGGCGACTATGAGTTCTAAGTGTCCCTTAGGCATAAAAACCAGCTGGGTAACTTCAGGCCAGTCATTCTCTCTCAGCCCAATTACATCATAAGGCTATTGTTGTGGAATTAAAATTAGGGGAACCCTCCCTTCCAAAATGTGTGGTTTTGAGTGTTTGGAGAAAAGGTGAGTATAAATGCAGTAAATAAATAATATGCTATACTGTTTCAGTTACCTGTTAATGCAGAACAGTGTATATATTGCAATTCGTTAACTTTTTGCTGTGCGTTTGAATATTTCAGATATTAAGCCAGAAAATCTTCTAATAAGCCACAATGATATTTTGAAATTGTGTGACTTTGGTAAGGCTTTATTATTAGATATCTTTATTACAATTCTTTATCATTTGAATTATTTTATGACAGTAAATAACCTTTTAAATTATAGTTTAATACAATAC